CAAATGCTTTTCCAACTAAAACTGTTTTCACTCAGCATTTCATATATAAATTTGTTTGCCTTACTATTCAAGTCATTACCATGATTAATATTCTGATCATATTCTTTAACTTAATTCATGTTTTGTGTGTGTTTATTCCACTGCTTATTCACTTTAAATTTCATTTTCTCAAATATTAATTGAATTTTACCTAACTTGTACTTACATATGTATGTAAGTCAATACATCTTGTTGTCAGTCTTCACTGACGAAGGAACAAGTGTATTCCGAAATGTTCAACTCGTGGAATAAAATGTTTAACTCTTTCAACCATGTTAATCTTCATAGGTATACATCATGAAAATGATTTAGAGATTCAAACTGCAAATTTCAATGTTACCTTGTTCGAGTAAAGCTGACGGAAGGAGATCTCCTGAGGCCCTGATTTCATCAAATTTTGATAAAATTGTTTGCAGCCTATAAATAAATGTATAGTAAAAGATCATTACAATACTTAGGATATATAAAAAGTGAGTTGTAAACTCTCCAACAGAAGACATAACATTGTTTGTTTGTACCATTACTTTCAAAAGTAGAACTTTATTTCATCTATCTATCTTTATTCATTAAACAAAATATACTTTGACAAAAATAGCACTGCAAGTGTTGTGAATTTTATTATTATTCTTTCACATTATATTATAATCAAACATGAGACTTAAGTCACAGTTCTGACCCATCTTACTTCCAATTACTAACAGTGCTCATACACTCTTTTGTAAATCTTTAAAACCATGAGTATATGTGTAATACAGAGTTAGCTAGATTATGTTAAAATGATTTTTGAATATTCAAATCAGAAAGTCACGTAACAACTACAGTTGATATAAAGTCGAAGTAAAATGGCATTTTAACATTGCTTGGCATGTCATAGATAGCGTGATGCCATCAGAAACTGATTGGTTTTTGGAAGGGTATCTAACAGCTCTTTTTGATGCAAGATGATTATACATTTAGATCATAAAAATGAATTTAAAATTTACAAGATGGGGATATCCCTTGTATATAATTTCATTGTAAGGCAAAGAAATATGGATCAACTTGGGAGACTAGGAACAACTAGAAAGAGATTTGCAACAAGTCTGTGGTAAGCAAAGTGCAGCATCTTGTAACAGTTTAGAATCCAAGAATACAAAGATCAGTGCAAAAACCATCCAGGTGCTCCAGTTAATAGTATTCAACACAATCAAGAAGGATCTCTACATCTGTAAATTTAACGCAAGTCACGTGCAAACAAGTTGCTTACACAACATAAATGTTCAACCACTGCATAACTCAAGCATCTGGAGAATGAAATGGGTATTAATTTCATATGATTACACACTGGTCAAGTCGCCAGACACAGTGCCTATGTATTTCTGTATGATTGTTCTGTTGAAACAAGTGTTTGGAAAATATCGTACACTAAACTCATTTATGGAGAGCATGCAGGGAAAAGTGGTGTGCTTTTGATAGGACAGTCTTACAATGGAGTCTTGTATAAACTACTCTGCAGGGCTTTTGTCAAGAGGCAGAGTCATCACAAGCTTTACTGGATGTGGTGACATGGACTGTAATGACGTAGTGAGGCTCCAAAATCATTTTAATGTACTCAACCTCTGTAGTGCATATTCTCATGCACAGATCCCAATCTGCTAAATAAAAAAATCCATAGATCTCCAAATTATATATTAGTCACTCTAGTATCTAAGTTGATTCTTTCTTTGGAATATATGTGACCTGGATGTACCTTAGAATCTTGGTGAAAAAAATACCCAGACTGTTTAAAAACACATTTAATCAACTTGAAAATAAGAAAAATTACCCATTTTTCTGTGTAACTGAGTGAAAATTGTACTTAATATAATACATGTCAAACATATCATAGGGAAATATATTTGTGAATGTTCAAGTAAGAAAAGGTTTGAAATATTCTACTGAACAGGAAAATAATAATGATGGAATGACACAAGAATGTTGTAAAATAAGAAAGCTAACCATAATGTGAATATTTCACATTCTCTCAGATAAAACCAAACCAAACAAATCACTCAATGATAGATATGTTTTCATTATAAATGAAAGAAAACCAATTTAACAGTTGAATGTGATCTATTTATTTTCATCAACATGTGAATCATCATTGATAATAACAGAAACTAATGATGAAAACAACTGGTTTTAAGTTTATATAACAGAATTTAGTTACTGTATTTGATCTTTTTGTCTGAATAATGACTTTTTTTTTCTTGAAAGCTAGATTTCTGTCCAAAACATGACTACCTAAAAACAGCATTCCACATTATAGTAGTGTTCATACTGTTCCAACCACATCTATTTGAATTATGAAGAAACAATCAGAGGAGCTGAACCACTACTTTGAATACACTGTATGTAACAATGACTGGGAGAATGCTGCAAAGCTATATCACAAGTTCTGAAGAAAGACTGTACAATATAACTCTGTAAGCAAACCAGCACAAGCCTTACAACACTGGGCTGCTTTAGTCACTCTACAAGCACACACACACACACACACACACACACAATGTTGGATAAGATAAACAGATTCAGAAACAAATTATATTTCTATGAAGATGAAGCTAGGATACTTTTATATATAACTGGATTACACTGGATATACAGTGGCTGCTCAATAAACAATCAAGTGCCGCACACTTCATTATTCCAGTCACACCTTTAAGCCCAAATAACCAACTGCTAACATTGCAAAGCAACCTAATGATCCAATAGGGTCGATAGTCTAAGAATACACCCCATGCCCCTAAAAAAAAAGCTGGTAAAGCACATTGCCTTGATACTGGTACACGTGAAGAAATTCATTCTGCATACGGATTGAAAAAAATTAGACGGGAACATTGATATGCATTACAAATTTTTTGGTTGTTACGTTTCACTTATGGCCTGCAAAAATGGGAAAAATCCAAAACCAGAAGGAGAAAAACTATAACACATATCAAAACTGTATTAGACTATTTGATTATCTTAACATTAAATGCACTTGTTTTCAACAAAGTTTTCAGATTATCTTCTCGTTCCTCCAATTATAATATAGTGTCTGTTGTGTAATGAAAATAAAAATCATGCTTTCTCAGTGTAGAGAAAAAAATTTCCATAGGTAAGAAACTATATAATCATCCAATAATAATAATACGTGGTCTCATCTTGAAATTAAAAATATTAGGTTATAAATTAAAAGTGGAACAAATAAACATATTATCAACACCTTGTGAACCTGATGAGATGGATACTCATCATTTTAAACAACTGATTCAAAATACAAACAACAAAAAATATGGAAGTAGTTGTTTGATAAAAATCATGTCAGGCTACAGTCTACCGGTTTTCTAATCTTTACTTACTTTCAACACGCAAGACTATAACTGATTTTCTTAATTGAATTTCAGGCCTAAAAACAACTTAACCCTATGTGCACAGGTGGAGAGTCTAGGAATTATGTTCAAAATTTAATCAAACAACTTTATTACAAACTTTTGTCAATACACTTGGTATCAAAACATAGTTAGTAAATGAAATTTTAATACTATATAACTTTTAATTTCAAATTAAAATATTTAAATAAATTGTCTTTCTTCACTTTTATGTACCACTCGACGCTAGTCCATTCCAAACTGCTCATTTAAACATTCTTTACATCCCTATTTGAGGTATACTAAATCTAAACTGCACACATCATACACAAACAAAATTCAGGTATGAATCTAAGTTTCAAATGGACAGCAACTGCCTGTTGTAGAAACCTACAAATGTAAGGACGACGTTTAGAAAGTCTTCCACCTTTCGTCTTCAGGCAGAAATACTTTCAAAATAAGCTTCGATTGGAGTATGGGAGTCCTTACCTTTTTCCAGTTTCAAGCCACAGGGGTCATTGACCATGGAGGCACCCATTTTCAGTATAGGAATTATTATAACTTTTCAGTTTTGCAAAGAGAATGCTACAGTAGCCTAAGCTACAGATACTTGTGAGAACATATATCTGTATTTTAGATTGTAAAGATTGATATTTATGTAAACATTTTTAATATGAACACTTTTACTTTACTTGAATGATAAAACAGAAACGACATAAAAAATGTTTACAGCCTGATGTGTCTTGCTCTTAAGACATGGTAGCTTAGTTAGCTAAAACATCTGCCCAGTAACTAGGATCATTTAGTTGTATCCTAAATATTAACAATTTTCACCTCTCAAGGTGAGGTGTCAACCTAAAAATGTCTATAAACAAACCACTTAAAACTTCCATTTTCAATAAAAATTGAAGGCAATAAATGTTTTCTCAGCTTTACAAACTAATTAGCATATCTTAATAGTTGTACCGATGAAGTGCAAAATGACATTATGGTATCTTAAACCTTAGCTGGCTAAAATATCTGCTTAGGTAGCAGAATCACATATTCTTTTTCCATCTGTTCTCAATTTTTACTTAAATTCTTACTTTTAAATAGGTGAAATTGATATATTTAATATTATTAACTGTATGCATTATTTAAATTATACTGGAATTAGGAAATAGTCATTGTAGTTAATGATTATGAAAACCTTTACATATATCATATTAAATAGTAAATATTGAATGTTTAAGCTGTTGCAGTCTAATAATAGTCTGTGACTTCTACTGTATTATTGTTTAGTGTCACTGTGTATTCTCTAATGTAATTTTGCAATTAGGCCATCAGTTAATATTTTAGCTACATTTTGAAGTTTAAGGTCTATTTATTCATGTTTTGTAGTGGCAGCCATTTAACATTTATTAACTGTGCAGTTAAATTGTTTTCCAAAAAATTTTTAACAGATAAATGTAAAATTGTGTGGTGTTTGTTTTGCTTCAAAATTTCAATACTTACACCATAAAAATAAAATAATCTCCTGATTTCATTAAATATATAATTTTTGTCTGGGGTTTAAGTATTTACATGCTTGAGGGTCTGCTTTTGCTTTAGTATCGATTTCTATATCGTGGAGGGTTTACTGAAGAATATGGAAGTGCTAAAACCAACAATAAGCATTCAACAGTCTCATCATCAACCAGTTCAGAGTCAATAAATAGGAAGAGGAAAGAAGTACCTGGTATTAACTTTCAACAAGAATTTGTAAGTTGTACTTTCTGTTTGTTCACCTTTTTTATTTTATTGTTATCCACTTACTGAAATATGATTTGATGATGTGTACCCAATTTGAGACAATAAAGTATTAAGATTGCTTGAATATGTAATGGAGGAAAGTTATTACAGATTTAACATCATCAAAACATTTTACATTTGTTACTTTGTTAAACTTGTTTTTTAAGAGTCTTCTAACTAAACTGAAATATGATTTGATGACTATTTGATTTGAAAATTATTTTTACCTTTTACAGTATATTAGTATTTGATGAGGTATTATTAAGGCTAAAAGGGAAAATTTTATAATTGCTAAATCTGTCTGTAAATGTCATGCAAAGGACAGATAACTTTGTTTTTAAATTGTATGTTAAACTTAATGTTCCATAATGTGCTCGATAAACTTAAACAAACTTTTAGGCATTGAAAAGTAAACTTCTGTGTAATAAATATTCTATTGCAAAATATACGGTATTATTAAATTAGTTGGCCTACTTTAAGATAATAATTCAAAACTAATCACCAGAAAAGTATAATGTGTATGTGAACTAATGTAATGATTTTCCAATGCTAAAAGTAATTATCATTAGATAACACTGAATGTGAGATTAGCACAGCCAACCTGTTAGGTTTAAAGTGACCACCATTCATCTCTGCTACTGCTTGTATTTGTGAGAGAATGTGATACACAGCATGATACAGTCATATTTCCAGTGATTACATGTTACTCCTTACATGGTATGATGTGTTATCTTTCAGATATGTAAATGTAACAGGCATGTCATATTAAATCAAAGACCTGAGATGATCCCACAGTCAAAAATAAGAAGTGGTGAGAACTGGAGGCTGTGCTGGTGTGGAAAATGTCTGCTGAGTACTCAGTCTGTGAAAGTATGTCCATCAGTATCCTGACAATGTATGATATGTGAAGTGGAGTACTATTTTGTAAGAAGATTGAAGTGAAGGAATGATAATGTGTTCTAGCACATAAATCAGGAGTGTTCTATGTCACAAATAAGTTAATTGTGGATTCCTCAGAGAAGTGAGGCTAAATGACAAACTTGCTCTTGAATCCAACCAACATTGTAGCTTCTTATCATGCAATTGCCATTGCTCAAAGACACGTGGATTGGTTTCTCCTTAGATTACACAATTACAGGTGCTTACTTAGCCAAAGAGGGAAAATTTGGACTCAAATCAGAAATAGCAGTGCAAAGTCTGATTGCTCATATTAATCTTTTTGGTAGTATTTCAAGGGTAGTCTGTAACCTGTAGGACTACAGTATCATTGTCTTACTCATAACTTTCCAGGTTGTTGATTGTAGAAAACTCCCAGTATGTTTCATTAATGAAGTCTTCTTTGTTTGCCATTTTCACATCAGTAGTGTCTTCATGCTGCATCAGTACTATTGCTGTTTCTTAATTAATGTATTAAAAGAACAATTCTACCATAGAGAAAACATATTAGGAGAAATTTCAAAAGGCAGAATGAATATTGATATGTTTCCTGTTAGTTTTATACAGTTAGTTTGCAAATATTATATTCAATGCTTCCTGTTGATCATTCTTTTTTTTTTTGGCACTGGAATCATATTTCTCTTTGGCTCATTATATTATCAGTGAAATATTGTAGTTTTCTGTTTATTAGTTTTTCTGGGGGGCCAACTAAATTTATATTAACCCTATGGTTGAAAGACTTATCTGAAAGCTAGTTTTCTCTTGACTGTTCTATAGCCATCTTTACACGGGGAAGCTTCTGACATCTCATCCAGCCAGCCACTGCAAGTAAATGGTGGAGTTTGGAGTAAGTACTTGAATGTGCTTTTGTTGGTATTAAGGGTTTGAATTAATTTACGTTGACACTAGTATTACTTGAATTATTGAAGGTCAGTGTTATTAGCTTCAATGAGTATGTATATTTAAATATATGGTTGTTTAATCATGTCAGTTTGAGTAGAGTCAGTTTCACTTGACTTAATAACACTTCTCAAAAAAGTGATGTTTCTCTACAATTACTAAATCTATTAGTATTAAATTAGGCAAACGTTTTCTAAATGGTTAATTGCTGTTATAAAAAAAATATTATTTTTAGCCTAATTTATCTGACTGTTTTGTGTGTGAAATTTCATAGTAGTTTCCATGAAACATGTTTTCATATAGACAAAAATGATATTTACTGCCTAGACATCCCTTTGTTTTTGTACTTTATCTATAAAACCTTCCAAATTCATAATGTTATTTTGTTTCTCTTTTACACAAAGCTCCACATCAAGCTATCTGCACTGTGTTAACAATGTAGAAACCAACCCCAGATTTTAGCATTTTATATCTTTAAATCTACAATTGACCTCCTTGGGGACTCCAAGCTCATACAGCAAGTTTTCTTGTGCTGAATATACAGCTTTTACTATTGTTGTTAAAATAGCACCATATATAACTCTTCGCTGTACATAATCACTGAGAGTCTATGATAAAAACTACTGAAAGCTGAGAAGTAAATAAGCAAAGTAAAGTTTTCAATTGTTATTGCTCAGACTGTTCAGTTTTACACATCTAAATAGTTTAATCTCACTTAACATTCGTAAAGTTGTTTCTTATATTTTAATTTAATTATTTGAACAATAAGTTATTGCAAAAACAACCATAACTTTTGTAAATTTGATGTATGTACTTGCAGTGAATTTGAAGGTCAATCTCAGATTGTCCAAGCATAGCTTACTTGGAAGCTGTACTGTTACTAAGACTAATTTTTTGCAGTGAGTTGTCTATGAGAACTTTTTTATGTGTGAAAATAGATACAACATTTACATGTATATACTATAATTCTAGGAATCCATGAATGAAAATAAAGGAAAATATGTTCTTATATGTGAGCCACACTACATTTGTCATATCCAGTGCTGATGAGGCCTTTTGCCCAGTAATAGAGTTCATAGTAGTGGTCCAGGCACTATATACATTTATAAATCACATTTTCTTGAAAAATGACTGTTATGGTATGAACCAGATTAAGCAAATGAATTGTTGTTCTTTTCTATTTTGTTTAAATCACTTACAACCAGACTAAGGAAGCATTAGATAAGCATTAGTAAAAGACTAGTTCCCACTAAAATAAAATGTTAAAACTTGCAATGGGACTGGAAAACTTTTGAAGGTCAATTATAGTGACATGACTGATTCATCATTACACATGACACGAGAAGTATTTACTCTGCTGTAACATTCATGCTATTATATTTCTTGTAAACATGGCTTGAAAATGATGTGGTTCACATGGGTACCACATGACAAGCTAGATATATATGTCCCATTCACAAAGAAGGGTGTAAACTTAGAAAAACACGATGAAAGTGTGGAGTTGAAAAAAAATATATCACATCATTCACTTTGGAATGTGACATTCTCATCTTGTAATACAGAGTCTAAAACCTTGGGACTGGAGGCACATTCTAAAAAATCTTAAATGTGCATATTGCAGCTCATACACATAAAAATAAAAAAAGTTGGAAAACCAAATGATTGAAACTTTTTTCTGTATGTATTGATAAACTCCAACAAATTTAACCATGTACAGAGTAAATTATGTAACTATTGTCAGTGTTAAAAAACTGAATATTGTTCAGGAATATTTTTCAATCAGTTCTTGGATGTAGTAGTACTACTACTAATTGAAAATGCTTAAAGCAAGTGGTACAAGTACTGGAGACAGTAGGGTCCAAGTTTTTGTTTTATCAAGCATTGATGTTTAGCATTTATTTTTTTCATGTGTGAACTAAAATCTGGAGTGAGACATTTTTTTTTGACACCAAAAATATTTACTCTGGCCCCCTCAAAAAAAATCACTAAAAAGTTAGAATACTGATTTTATCACTAAAATATTGTTTATAAGCATATAGAAGTTTCACATGAAAATGGTGCCAGCTTATCTTAATTTTTCTATGCAAGTAGAAACAAAACTTAAAACATAATCATAGTTAGGTGTGGAGCATATCAAAGAAATATTTATATATGAAGTTTAAATATTTAATTAACAGTATTTAGCAAGCAGAGAAGTTTTATGTACATACCTCCTTTGACATAATTTCACTATTATATACCTAGAAATATTTAAATTTTCATATGAGAGTGTGTTCCCTAATTTTCAATGATTTTGTATTTTTATTTTGAGGGAAGCTTTATAAATCAAACTTGATGAGTTAGAATCAAATTTTTACAGGGGTTTGTGAAAGTAAACAAATCTCCACTTTGTAATTTATTCTCATTAATTAATGAGAATAAATTATAGTTTCGAGAAAAGCTTGTTTTCATGTTACTGGTTATAAAGTTAGTGGGGTTTTTTCTATAGAAAATCCTGTGAATGCCAAAGTGCATGGAACAATTCTCACTAAGAACATTCATCTGATACAAAGGCCTGTCAAATCTGAGTTAGGAACGGAAATGCGAAACAAAAGTTTATCTGGCATGTATCATTTTATTTTTCTTCTGTGAAATGTGTTGACTCAATTATTAGATTAAACTTAAGTGTTTCATTTCATTAGCACAATTGTAATCCTTTAATAAAAACTGTTAGAGCCTAGAAAAAACAAAATTTTTGATAGTCTAAAACAGTTACAAAAAATTTGTTTGATATTTTTGTAAAACTGATATGAGTTTTCAGGAATAGCCAATTTTAACTGACAGCAAAATGTTAGATTTCTAAAGGCCTTTTTCTAAACTGATTTAAATTGAAAATGAAAAGATTCAAGTCTTCTTTATGGATAGAAACTTAGTTTAAAAACCTTAATATTATAAGAATGAAGCATTATATAACAATGGCCTTTAGAAGACTTCTCAAAAAGTGATGGTTAAACCCTTTGAAATAGCTTTATGAATGGCTATAGACTGAACAATAAATTTTTCTTATCTATTTTTTAGTGTATGAAAATTAGTGCAATTAGAAAAACAGTCTCCTTATGTGGCAAAAACAAAATTATATATATATATATATATATAGAAATTGATAAAACACGTGTCTGTGGGTCTACGTGACTGCCATAACTCCAAGAGGAAAAAACTTAGAAACCTAAAATTTTGCACTCATATTAAGTTGACCCTGAGGGTGTGCACCTGGGTGTTACTTATCTTATCCACATGCGTGTGCTTCTTTTTAATGAGGCAAGCTAGTGAAAAACGACGTAGAATAGAAGTGGTTCCTTATGTTATAAATATAAATCACATACAGATAGACAGAAATGCATGTGCATGTCTATGTGACCACCATAGCTCAAGTGGACCTTGAGGGTATGCACCTGGGTATCATTACTTATCCATGTGCGTGTGCATATCTTTTTATGAAACAAGCTTGCGAAAAACCACATAGAAAAGAAGTGTGACCACTATAAAACCAAGAAGCCTGAAATTTTGCACCCATACTAAGTGGACTGTGAGGGTACAAACCTGGGTGTTGTTATTCATGTGCAGGCACATCTTTTTAATGAGGCAATCTAGTGAAAAACCACAAAGAAAAGAAATTGTTCCTTATATAACAACTTCTAATATATAGAAAAGGCAGTGCATTTTGGTAGTAATACATTCCAACAATGGCTTTTATGTTATGCTGCTTAGCAACAAAAATACAACCTAATTATGTTGTTAGTCTATGTACTGAAAGTAAAAAAATGAAATGTATAAACTACAGAATTGAAAAATATTTATTGATTTCTTAATTTAGAGTCTCCATTGATTAAATTCAGAAATGATTTACTTTTAAGTTGGATTCATATTTTTACTTGCACGATAAATTTCATGCACTTGGCTCTAAGCTAGGTTATCTCATATTATGTCTTTACTTTAGGCTTATTTATTAATTTCTTTAAATCATAACAACATTCACTGCACTTACAAGGTTTCATTAAACAAACTATTATATCTGAATAAATGCATTTTATTTCAAGAAATCAAGCGTGACATGACGTGACACATGCTGTCTTTTATTTAGGTTAGATAACGTGATGTATAGTGGTATGTATAATTATATATAATAATTTTATTATTATCATACCTTTATGACTTTTTTATGTTTCTGGGCAAAAAAGATATGTTTAAAATATTTTTGACTGTTCTTCTATGCTAAAATGGGTTCAGAATACATACACTGACATAGTCATCTAGAACATATCAACCTAATGACCCAAGCGAAGCTTGGTACTTTCACTAGTATATGTCTATAGAATTAAACTTTTTTTTAATTTACTGTTTGCTTAAAATATTCTGAATATATAGAAAGTTTTACTGTGAAAAAGGTACTGTTTTCTGTTCCCATTAAAGTAACAATGTAAGAGATATTTGTGTTTATAGATAAATCTGTCATGCAATAACTATTATTAAAACCATTCATTTGATTATTGTTGTGTTCTGTGTAAAATACAAATTTTATATATATGCAGCCTCTTTCAACTTGTTTTTTTTATTCATTTATCTACTGAAAACAGTCAGGTGTCTTCATGCAGGCAGCTTTGACTCTCACTCTGTTAGCTACTATTTAAATTTTTGTCTTAAAATAAAAATAAATGGATATATTTTCTAATAAATTTAAAAATAATAATAGTTTTCTATGCTTGGTAATTAACATAAAACCATTATTTTCTACAAAATAAGTCACTTCTACTGTTAGTAGTTTTCATTTTGAAAGTACAGATGTAACTTTAATCACTAAGCCTAGTCATTTACAGATGTAGGGTGTTAAGCATTAGAATTTTTTCTGATATGTTTGCTTTTAATAATAAGAATATGTTAAGAGAATAATTAATTTAAAAATTGTATTCTAAATTAATTTATTTTAAATATAGCTTATAGTTCCACTGATATTTGCACATTCTTAATTATGGTGTAACCTTAAAACTGTTAATGGTTTTTACTTCTTAGTTGATGGTTTTGTTAAAAAGTTATATTTTTAGATGTAGATGTTTTGACGATGCCATTGTGAAAGTTTGTTCTGCCATTATTTCTTGCTTCTAAAGGAGTTAACAGTTCACTGGGTATTACAGCAAGTAGTCAAGAACCATCTTCTGCATCCATTGCAAGTCGATCAAGATACTTCTTGCCCAAGGCTATTGTTCCTGCTAAAGTAAGAAACTGAGAACTTTGTAGATTTTTTTTTGTTTGTGAAAATGGCATTGAAAAGATATCATTCAGGTTGTAAAACAACCCAGTGAATGTATGAAATTAAAGCTTCAATTTGCATTTACTTCAATGTTTGTACTAACTTCTAGATTTTGTAAGTTATTTGGTTAAAACATGTAATGAACTGTTACCTGATTTTGAGTAGATTTTGTAAGTTACTTGCTTAAAATATATCATGATCTGTTACCTGATTTTGAGTTTTGATACCGAAATAAGTGGATGCTTTAAATTTTTCTTTTAAATATAGGTTTTCAATTTAGATTAAAAATTTGATACTTGGATATTAGTACCTCAATTTGATTCATTTTTTGCTAAATAAATAAGATTTTTATTTTTTCATTTGCTAGGAACATGTGTTAACTGTCATTTTGTAAGAAGTATTTCCAGATGTTTTGCACACATATGTAAGCTGCAGATCATGGGTTCAAATCCCCATCCCATCAAACATGCTCGCTCTTTGAGCCATGAGGGAATTATAATGTGATGGTCAATCCCACTATCCCCTTCTCTCTACTCTTTCACTGTTAAATTAAGGATGGCTAGTACAGATAGCCTTTGTGTAGCTTTGCGTGAAAATCAAAACCAAACCAAACTTGTATTTCATAAAACGTCACAGCTAAGGGGAGTTTGTGTACAGGTACTAAAATTCTTTCAACATTAATATGTTTTGTAATTAACCAGAACATACTTGAATATGTTGTAAAGGCTACTATAGATCAATATAGGCCAGAAATTTATAAAATGTTTCCGTAGCTAAAACAGTCACATGAATTTTTCATATAATATCTGTGTATTGTTTCAAATGTTTTGTTTTTTTACCCTAATGGAGCAAAAAGAAGACTAGACATTGCCTTGATTTAAATGTACAAAATATTGTACACTAGCAAGATTAAAACTGTGTTTTAATATTAAGCCTAACTATTAAATTTCTTTTTACTGTGGGCAGTGATGTAAAGGGCCTTATTAACTGCTAGTTAAACCTAGGGATCTTCTGCTTGTTTTTGAAATTCATATCATACACACATTATCATTTTGATGCAAGAGTATTTTTTACAAGACCTCAGGTGCATAGTTTTATCTTTTATTTTTGACTATGAGTAGATTAAAGTAGTTTTTTAATCATATGTTTTACCAAAAGAGCAGACATTCTGGTATAAGCTAAAAACCATTCGAGTGCATCAAATTAGACAGTTTGAATATAGTAAATTTTTTTACTTTTGGAGCAACATCAATTTAAAAGATGCATGTATGGTCGTCTGTTCTTTTCAAAGTTAAAAACTTACTTTATGACAGTGGCTTTATTATAATTATGTACATCATGTTGATTGATCCCATAATGGAAGGATTAGTGAAGGTCTGTGTGGTTTGGTAATAGGATTACAGAAGAATTTTCTAATTTTTTTATTGTAAAAAAAAATACTGGTTTAATAGTGTTGTCAATACACTTAGATTTAGAAAAAAGGATTCGGTTAAGTTGTACTTTTTTTGACACCTTTCCTATGTTATTTTTATGTCTCTAGCAAAACTCAAGCACGAAGAAGCCAGTCAGAGAAAGTGTATTATTGTCATCAAAAGTAAGTTGTGTTTGATCATGCAAAAGTTGTGTTTTATTTATTAGTGGTTATCATGAATCATAGTTCTCTGTGCAATGATATTCCACACAAATGACTGTCTTCACTCTTAAAGTTTTTGAAATGACACTACACTTTTCTGTGATTTTATTTTGAAACTTAATTTCATTCAAATTGACAGTGAGCATTTTTTACTAAACCAGTGAAACTGCTGTGGGTACTAAAATTGCCCTTAATTATGGTAGTTTTATGAGAAACATGGAAACTAATCTTCGGAATAAAATCCATATGTGAAAAAAATACATCAATGACACTTTTATGATTTTGGACTGCTGGATCAGAAAGTGTACAAGACTTCTACACTTATGTTAAAGGAGGAAACAATAGGTGTCACTCCTTTTCTAATTTTTCATAACTGGCTAATTAAAAATTAGTTTTAAGTTGTTTTTAAAGAAAATCTCAATTAATGAAAGTAACCATATTAAGCTAAACTTTCACTGTTTCATGAATTGCACAGTTGATTTGTTTTAAGTTTCAAAATCCAAAATAATTAGAAATTATGTAAGGAATGTGTTTAATCTCCTGGCGAGAAAACAATTTACAAAGTAACTAAGACATTATGTTTCAGACAGCACAGAAAGACAAGTCAAATTTCAGCAATGTTATGTTTTTTATATGTACTTTATATTAATCAATAACAAAATATGTTTAGCACTTGAAAAAGCATTGTAATACTCTTATGTATGAAAGTAAAGTATGAAATATACATTTTGATGGATAAAAAAGTATTAAATAGTAATGCTGTAAAAAAGTCTGATTTTTTGTATTTTTTCAGTTTATACATTTTATTATAAAGTTTTTTGTTTAATGTAGGAAATAATGACCAATGGATTTGAAATAGCTGGATTGAACAGTGCTACGTCTTTATCTCAACCATTGTTAAACTCCTCTAGCAGACATGTAAGTTAGTCAGTTTATATAGTTTAAATATAAATAGTTATTATAAAAGTGATATTTTGGATAGAATATGTGTAAAATTAACTCTTTTATTTTTTAAAGTCATAATTAATGAGTATTTGTGCTATTTGTAACTTTATACTCAACACAGACTCTAAGACCTACTTATCACAGTATTACTGTATTTTGAAGGCTGTGAATGAAAATTCATATGGATCCTGGAAGCTTGTAAATTCAGTTTCCAAATCTAAAAATTCCTGAAAATTTTGTAACATTGTCAGAAGTACTGAAAACTAAAATGCCTCGGTGAAATATTTTTATTCAGGAAGTTTAAGATATCAGAAAATATAACATTTTTACTTTGTTCAACTAATTTAAATCCTGTATCTCACAATCTATTAACACCAGGCTAGTGAGTTAAATTTAACAAAACATTTGTAGCTTCTTTCTCAGTTTTGGATATGTAGTCAGTTGCATTGCAGTAATAACTCCAGGACAAACACATGAAGGACTGGCCAAACATTTGATATTAATGAAATTGTTATGTATTAGAATTAATTTTTATAACACATTCAGCAGTTGGTGAATAACATCACACTGGAGTAGTAGGTACAGAAAATGAGTGCAAATTATTTCCCTTATCAACTACTGATGTGTGTAAAACACAACTATCTATTTCATTTTGTCAACTTCTGTAAAAGACAAGTTGATCTTGATATCATTTTGGACTTGAATAAACTTGACACTTGTGTTGCTAAGTCAGTGTTTTTATAGCAACTGTTTTACCTTGTAATTAATAAAATGCATTTAAGTTAGTGTTGAGGCCAAGAAAGGATACCAAATGGCCCACATTGCAACAATGAACATCAACTATTTTTAAAACTGTAAGCGAAATCTTACTTCCTAATTTTTGTTCTAAAAATACATATTATGGTGTACAATGTAGTATGCAATCATTCACTATTTTACTTTTATTTCAAAGCATAAAATGTTGGTGGAAAGAAAAGATTGCATAAATACATACATGAATTTGTGTAGGTTATGCTATGAGAATTAGAGAAGTATTCTGAACTTTACAGAATTAAGCAGAACGAGACAATGTATTTGTATGTTTTGCCATTATTTCATTTATTTTCCCTGTAAAGCCATCATGTTTGTATTAAATGAATTATTTGTGAAATATACAGTTATCTTTATTTTCCTCAATTCTGTAATTATGGAGTTTCATGAAGTATAGACAATTTTAAGTAATAATTATATACTTAACTTTAGCTTACAGGAAGTACAGTAAAGCAATATTACTGACCTTGTAATCATTTTGTGCTTATTATATACACCTGGAAAAAGTTAAGCACCCCCGTGTTTTTTTCAAGTGATTCAGATTTGACGTTCTTGTGACT